TTCCTATCTAAAATATCCTCATGGTGTATCAATGGGGGAATAAAGAGCTGCCATCATGCAATTAGACATTCTGAAGATAACTGGGTTCCACATACATATGGTCATTATAAAATGTAAATCTTCAAATCAATCATTATCATCATAGAGTTTTAATGATTGCTTTCTTTTTATTTCTCGTTTTGATAACCAACATTTTAAAGTAGGTTTTGTAATTTTCTGTGAAATGACTTCCTAAGAAGCCAAAAACATTTATGTATTGATTCATTTTTTATCTTTTGTAGCAAGTGAAGTAGAAATTAACATGACTAATTCTGTCCTGCAATGACTGCATCTTTTTTCTAACTTGGTTTGATTACCCTCTTTCATTTAATATTGGCAATATTGATTGGTGCCCAAAGCATTGATCTAGCAACAGTGTTAGTTATGTGTTATTACACAGGCATCTCAGGAGAAAGAAACACCAGCTTTTTTAATACATGAAAACAAAGAGCCCTTGGCACTCATGTTTGGCAAGCTGTGACACTAAGATCACAAGATAAAAAATAGATAACACAATGGAAAACAAAGTATAATAAACCATCAAAGATTGCATTAAATCGCAATATTTGCAAAGTTGTTATAATTAGTGTTTTCCTTAATTAACATAAAACTATGTGCTTTAGTTGCTAAAAAATATTTGCAAGAAAACACCGGAGTTATTGTGTTTTGAGGACAGTTCATCACAGAAGCTCATCACATTACACTGGAAATATTACTTGGATTCTGGCATATTCAGATATTTTACATCATATTCTGTTCTGGAGGATGAGGTTGAAGCCAATATTAAAAATTTAGTAAGCTATGCAAGTATATGATCTCTTTGAGTTTAGAGGATTTTATAACAATTATGTTTTCTTTTTATATCAACAAGAAAGAACAAATTTATTATTTTAATTAATTACAAATCCAATCCATGAATTTACAAACTTAAAAATAACAGCAAAGACCCCTTACAACTTACATGTTTACATACCCTTTTTTTTGTTTAGTAACGGGATATTCTTTTCAAAGTATTTTTTAAATATATGTGTTGATTGCTTCTTGTGCACAACCTGAACTTGTTTTTAGGGTATGTGCATGAAGCACATAGAAACAATTGCCTAGAACAACTCTTACCATTGATGAAACTACAACACTGAATAAACTATAATTATCAGCCATTTCACTCTATTCAAAGAAAATATAAACCAATCGGTACCTATGATTTGGGCCTATAATATTGGAGAGGCAAAGGCTTCAACTTCATAAAATATCCAGTAAATTAATAAAAGCTTCAATGAGATAATTTATTGTGAATTCAATGAACATTATAAAAGAAAAAGTTCACGGTGTCATGGAAAAGGGGAAGAGGTTGCAATGTCACATTATAGAAGGAAACTTGGAAAGCATCCTTGAGCAGCAACACTCTCCTAACACGTGAGGCTGCAGACAGGAGAATCCTTTTAGTTTTAGTGTTACAATAAAACTATACCAATTAATTAAAAAACTCTACCTAATTTCTATTTCTTTGACTTCACTGTTCTACCCCAAGATATTTATGTACCTCCAAATATAAGAGTTCTTATCTCTTATACTAGCTCTTGTTGTTGATCAGGCTGCATGCCAAAGTTCTACTTCCTACAGGGTTGTGTAAGCATTAAAATTTGTGCTGATTTCTCAAAGCAAGCAAAGCATGTAAAATATTAATCTTAATATCAATTTATTTATTTATTGGACGTGGATTATATTCAGTGCACCATTTTAAGTAATTGCTGTCAGTAACATAAAATGAATAAACACAGTTTACATAAAACATTGAAACTTGATGACTTAGGACTAGAGATCTTTCCCACTTGACTGTTCACTAAAGAAATTACTGCTGTTAACTCTATGCTCGAGGTGGCTTTATACCTTGCATGGAGGATTATTTAGGGTTTTTGTTTGTTTGTTTCTGACCATTCTTTTTTTATTTTATTTTTTTCTTATCAGTTACATTTTATTAACTCTGTATCCCAGCCGTGTCCCGATCCCTCATTCCCTCCCAGTCCCTCCCTCCCTCCCTCATCTCCATCGTGCCCCTTGCCAAGTCCACTGATAGGGGGGACCTCACCATGAGCGATTGGGTAGCACATTTCTTGTCTGTAGTCTGTTTCAATTATTTTCAATTTTAATTAATTAATTAATGTTAGTTTGATTAATTGAATGGTTGATTGATTGATTTGGGGTGGGGAAGCATATGCTTGCCATGGGACCTTAGTGAAAGAGAATGACTTGAAAGGTTCAGTTATTTCTTTCCATAATGTCGGTTCTCAGAGTCCAACTCTGGGTCACTGGGCTTAGTGATGAGTGCCTTTATTTGTTGAGTCACATCCCTGGGGCTGCTGTTAGGTCATTATTGTGGGGTAGCATGGTTATGGATCAGCTTGGATTTTGATATCTGAAAATAGAGATTGGAGTTTTACTGAGGTTCATGAAGTCAGGAAGAAAGAGTAAATGAACCCTTGTAGAAATTTGAAATATTTATCTTGAAACTTATTCTGTTGTGTAGAACTTGCCCTTTTTTACTTTTATTTAAATTGATTAATTAGATACATTAATAAATAGAACATTTACTGCTCTTATTTTAGTTGATTAATAGCATGTTATAACTGTGAGCCTACTTATTTATATGCATGCCATAAGAATTCAGTGCCTACATTGGCCTGACATTGTTATCAAATCATTGGAAATGTAGTTACAGGTGTAAGTTACCCCATATTAGTACTGAGAATATAACCTGGGTCCCCTCGAAAATCAGAAAATACTTTTAAATACTGAGAAGTTCCATTAGGCCCATTTTTGCTTTTAAAGAAATGGTTTGATCAAATCTCTGCAACAGAGGTTCTGAATCTCATTTGAAACAATTTTGACACCATTTGCTTACTGATCCCTCAAGTCAAACACTTTAGTATACTTCCCATTTCACATATCAAACACAAGTATTTTGAATTTTGAAAATTCAAGAGTCTTTAGGATCCTAGTAGAATAGGTCAGTCAATAAAAAGATGTGTAGCCTACAGGATTGCCATTGCTTTATTAATAAAAGACAGTAGTCATAATTGATAGACAATATATGACTGGTAACAATACATGACTGGCAATCTGTTCTGTAATTTTTGTGAATTTTCCTAGAGCACTTGTGTCATATACATGTGTTAAATTTTTTTAAAAAACTATCTCTTTAACCTCTATAGTCTCTCAACCAACATGACATGCTTATGTCTCCAGACAGACCATAATATTCTCAGATTTTTTTCTATCTGCTTTAGTTCTAAAAATCTAGCCTCATAAAATTGCTATCATAGAATAATTTTTTAAATCCATGCACTGCATAAAAGATATCATACATTTATATTAATGATGACTGTTACTTAAACATAAATATTTGCTTTTTGATGGATATATAAAGATTTTTATTCCTTAATATTCTTTTTTTCCCATCTCATAGTTTTCTCTTTTGCTGCTATTATTTTTCATGCCACCTAGTTACATACCCTACCAGTAAGCTCTGAATCTAGACTTTCTTTTATGTTTTAACTTGGATAGGGTCTTAGTAAGTTGTCGAGGCTGGTCCTGAATTCCACTTACTACCCTACTCATGTATACAGTTTATGATGTGTCTGCTTCACCTTTCATACAGCTAGTGTGAGAAGCCTATGTCTTTAATATATTTGTATCCTAATCTTACTAAAGCCAAGTATTCAATTATTATCCAAAATATGTGATTAGCAATGTTCCTTTGTTAATCTGATTTTAAAGACAATACATACATGAATCCATTTTTACAAAAAAGAACAAACAAACAACCCAAAAAGGGAAAAAAAAATCCCTGAATGTAATAAGGGTAATACACTCCTTCTTTTCTTTGGCTCTTTTCCTTCAGGTTATGTTGATTTCCAATCCCTAAGTCTTGGCATCATGATGCAGAGACTATTTGTAAGAGAATGACTCTTCTCAAAGTAGAGTCAACTCTACAGGAATAATGGAATGTAATCAGTGGATGTTTATAACCCATTCTTTGTCAATAAATATTTGTCTGCTTGAGGGTATTGCTGCAAGGACACTATCAGTAGAAATGATTCTTAAATAAAATGTTTTAATACTCTACAAAATCTCCATATTATGATTTTTAAGCTTTTTCAATAAACATTCTGAAACTAATTTTTCTCTTTAGGCTTAACTTAGTGATAGTCTGAGATGTATGTATAGCGATAAGCAAGAACAAGTAGTGGAAGTCCAAACATGGCAGTGCTGATGACAATGACCTAAAGGACAGTCTAGGCTAAACACAGGATTGCTATTGTGTAAACAGAAATGCAAACTCTGCATTTTACAGGCATCTCTTGAGACTGCTTTTGTTTGTGTGGGAAGCCATTACTTACCATATTTACTACCAAAGGTCAACTACCATAGGCAAAGGACTCCAGGTTCCCAGTTAACCCAAACATTCTACAACATTTCAAAGGCCCTGTTGTAACTCCCTGGCTGTTGTCATGTCCCTTCCCACCTTACCAATAAAACTAGCAAAGCTTTTCTCACCAGGTACTGTTCTCTATTGTGTGAGGTCGGCCTGGCAGTTTGTCACTCTGTCACCTGCTCCAATAAAATGTCTTTCTTCTCACAGAATAGTCTAAATTAGAGGTTTCACTGCAACTCACTTACAAAGCTATGCTAATTGCAATTATTTTTTATTTGAAAAAATGACTTCAGATAAAATATTTTAACCTAATCCTTACAAATCAGCTTTGTACAATATAAACTTAGAACTATGTAATTCCTAGGAATTCTGATTGACAACAATGTTTATGTCTATAATGACTATAACTACTCAAACTTCTGGAGTCATTTAAACAAATAGCTTTTACAAGTATCAACAGATATTCATAACTGTTATACCATGTCAGGTAATTCTATTAGTAGGATTTAAATTCAGAATTGTTTACCTGTGTGTGAGTCTCCGGTGACTGATGCAGAGGGCAGTCTGCGCATCTTGAGTAATGCAGACTTTGTGACGACTGCATTTCATCTTTAGGCATGGGTCCTTAGCTGGATCTAAAGCTACAGAAAAGAGTGGAAAATGAAGAGACAGACAATTTAAATGATTCTGTGTATGGAGATACTAATTATCATACATAAATATATTATAAAATTTCTATATAATTTTGTTGTGGGTTTCTTCAATTTTGAAAATTGTATGCATGTAAATAATGTATTTTGATCATCTTCACACCTGTCACCTTCTCTTGTCCTCCTCCTATTATGCAGATCATGTCATTTATTGCATTTATTATCTTTGAGCCTTCCTGATATTTTTATTCTGCAAAGAGTTGTGTCTGCTTATAAATGTATAACCTCAGCTGGATTCTGTTTTACATAGTCTACTCAGAAGCTAAAGATCATGAGGTGGTTTGTTTGGAAAGTGCATACAAACACTGATGCAGAACCACAGCTCTAACTTTATTCTGCAGTCATTTTAGTAACCATGGCCTGAGAGCAGAGAAAAACACTATGCCAAGTACCATGTAATAAATGGAAGGAATTTTACAAAATTTTATAGCTTTATGGAACAAGTAAATTCAGAAAAAGGATAAGTTAAAAAAAAAAACACTGTGTTGTTTACATCAGAGATGTAATTAAATCAGGAAGCAGATCATTTTTTTTTTGATAGGTCTAAGATGCTCTCTAATGACATTTATAGCTTTTGAGTTGGTGAAAGCTAGTGGTTAGCAAAAGTCATTAGATTTTTTTAAACTTTTCTTCTTTATTATAATTTTTTTCTGTTTATATCCAAGCTGTAGCCACCTCCCTCATCCTCTCTCAATCCTGCAATCCCTCCCTCTTCTCCTCCTATGCCCTTCCCCTAGTCCACTGGTAAGGGAGGTCCTACAACCATCTGACCCTAGTCTATCAGGTTTCATCACCACTGGCTGCATTTGTCTTCCTCTGTGGCTTGGTAAGGCTGCTCCCACCTCAAGGAGAGGTGATCAAAGGACCTGACACTGAGTTCATGCCAAAGAAAGCCCCTTTTCCCAACAGATGTTATTTCTGATACAAAGGTGGTCATGGAATGGCTATACATGAGGCTGAGTAAGTCTTTGGAACTGAAGCATTTCAACCTCCCAACATCACTGTAAATTTAAAGTCTGTGTGGACACATATACTTTCCAGAAATTCCTATTCACGAGTAAAGCACAAATGTAAAGATTAACACTGTTCTTCAGAATAGTAAAGATAAAAATAAGACATACTATGATTTATGTTGATGGAAAGTGACAGTTACTAACTTCGGTTATCTTACATAGATTCTAGTTGCCTAGAAAAAGAATAAAGCTGGGGTATCCAAGGTGGCGGCAACCAGTGTGCAACATATCTAAGGGGCAAAGGATCTGAGACTCTGAAATTGGTGAGTGAAGGGGCTGCTGAACCCAGAACAGAGATATCTAGGCTTCCAGAGAGAAAGGGGACTAACCATTAACTGAGTTCATTTAGAATCAGGTCACCAGCGGACTCCTCTGTGGTCCTTTCCTGGAGCTCGATCCTGAGGCACTTCCTAGTATCCACCTCCCTATTCCCTCTTTGGAAGAGGCAGAGAAGGCTGCCAGTGGACTCTACCACAGACCACAGAAGCCGGGCCCCAGTGTTGGCGACTCCTAGCAAAGAAACCTCTGCTCGGGGTCTGGGATATAGAACACTCAACCTTTCCCGGCACTCCCCTGGGACTGGCCCCCATAATCATTCCCTGGCAGAGGTGAAGGATTCAGAGGCAGCCTGTAGAGTCCACCACAGAGCGCACTGCCCTGGTTCCAGTGCAGGCAGACCCCAGCACAGTATACAGTGATAGTGGACACCAAGTCCTGCTGCTACAGCACCACTGAGCTGACTGTTAGCCTACATCTGCATTTGCCCCAGGAGGATCAAACTGGAGAGTAGAGAACAAGGGGATACTCTGTGTTTTCCAACTGGTTCTGCAAGAGAGTGAGTGTGCCTTCAAGTGAGTGCTTTCAGAGCCCCAGATCCAAGGCCCCTCTATACAAGCAACCAGACAACAGATCCCTACCACCGACACCACTATTGAGGGCAACATAAGGATTCATGGGACAGTCTTCTCAACAATGAAGCTCAACCTGCTCTGTGGGTCTACCAGTGAATTCCAGGCAAAAAATTCTTAGAGTCCAGACAGATTTGCATATCAGTGGCCTGTAGGCCACTGAGGTAGTCAGGAAATTTGTGCCTGCACACTAGGTCCACTAAAAGCACCTGCTAATAGCTCCAGCATCACCTTCCTCATTTAGGTACATCAGAAACACCAATGCACATTCTCAAACCAGTGAACCTCTCTCATCTTCCTGAAAAACATTCCAGAAACCAGAAAAAGGTGGACTTAGTCTGAAGTACAGACTCCTGGAACTAACTGTGAGGGTTACAGATAAGCAGATGACTAGAGACCAGAGTAAGAACACACCCAACAAAAAACAGGACATTATGGCTTCACCACCAAACCCAAAATCAATGGACACTTCAGTTCATTGGAGAAACAAGAAAATAACTCTAAAACTATGCTTATCCAGTTATTAGAGGATCCTAAAGAGGAAATGAACAATTCTTTCAGAGAAATGGTCACACAAATACAGACACATAAAGAGAAAATGAACAACTCTCTCAAATAAATAGCCAAATAAGTTGAGATAAATAACAACTCTCTCAAAGAAATACCCAAACAAGTTGAGGCAACTAAAGAGGAAAGCCCTCAAAGAAACAACTACAGAAATAGAGGAAAATAAAGAAGAAATAAACAAGGTTCTCAAAGAAATACAGGAAAATGCAGCCAAACAGGTAGAGGCACAATTAGCGGCATATAGAGAGGAAACAAAGAAATAAAAAAAAAAAAAAATAGAAGCCATAGTTGAAAAGCAGACTCCACATTCAAACAGATGAAGGAAATGGTGCAAGACATGAAAACAGAATTAGAATCAATAAAGAATACACAAACAGAGAAAACTCTGGAGCTGGATAACTTAGAGAAAAGATCAGGAACCACAAAGGTAAGCATCACCAACAGAATACAAGAGATAGAAGAAAGAATCTCTGGAGCTAAAGATACACTTGCAGAAATTGATATGTCTCTCAAAGAAAAAATAAAATCAGAAAAGTTCCAAACACAAAACATCCAAAAAATCATGGGCTCCATAAAAAGACAAAATCTAAGAATAATAGGAATAGATGAAAAATAAGATACCAGGCTCCACGGTCTGGAAAATATTTTCAAGAAAATCATAGAAGAAATTTTTTTCCAACTTAAAGAGATGTCCGTAAATATACAAGAGGCCTACAGAACACCAAATAGATTAGACCAGAAAAGAAACTCCTCACATCACATCATAGTCAAAACACTGAACCTACAGAACAAAGAAAAATATTAAAAGCAGTAAGGAAAAAAGGCCAAGTAACATATAAAGATAGACCTATCAGAATCAAACCAGATTTCTCAACAGAAACTATGAAAGCCAGAAGGGCCTGGGCAGATGTCATGCAGAATTTAAGGGACCACAGATGCCAACCCACACTACTATACCCAGCAAAGCTTTCAATCAACATAGATGGAGAAATCAAAATATTCCATGACAAAACCAAATTTAAACAATATCTACACAGCAAACCAGCCCTATAGAAGATAGTAGAAGGAAAATTTCAACCCAACAAAAACAAATACATCCAAAAAAGTTTGGACATAGATAAGTATACAACAACAAAAAAATCAAAAGAATACGAGGAATGAAACATGGTAATGCCACCAACCACACATCAAAAGATAGTAACATTCATTGATCACTAGTATCTGTCAACATCAGTGGAATCAACTCTCCAATAAAAAGACAGTCTAATAGAATGGTTGCAGAAATAGGATCCAACATTCTGTTGCATCCAAGAAACACAGCTATGGAACAAAGATAAACACTACCTCAGAGTAAAGGGCTGGAAAAATGTTTTTCAAGCAAATGGACCCAGAAAACAAACTGGAATAGCCATCCTAATATTTAATAAAATATACTTTCAACCAAAATTAATCAAAAAAATATGAAGACAGACACTACATTCTCATCAAAGGAAAAATCCACTAAGAGGACATCACAATTCTGAACATTTATGCCCCAAATACAAGAGTGCCTACATTCGTAAATGAATCATTATTAGAGCTTAAATCAACACATCTATCCTAACACCTTAATAGTGGGAAACTTCAACACTCCACTTTCACCAATGTACAGATCATCTAGACAGAAGCCAAATAAGGAAATAAAAGCACTTACAGAGGCCCTGATTCAAATGGACCTAAAAGACGTTTACAGAACTTTTCACCCAAACTCAAAGAATATATTTTCTCTTCAGGACCTCATGGGACCTTTCTCAAAATAGACCAAATAGTTGGTCACAGAGCAAGCTTCAACAGATAGAAGAAGACTGAAATAATCCCCTATATTCTATCTGACCACCATGGACTAAAGCTGGATCTCAATAACTATGGAAATAACAAGAAGCCTACACACACATGGAAACTGAGCAACTGGTTACTCAGTGACAGCTGGGTTAAGGAAGAAATGAAGGAAGAAAGTAAAGACTTCCCAGAATTCAATGAAAATTAAGGTACAACATTCCCAAACTTATGGGACACATTAAAAACAGTGCTAAGAGGAAAATTCATAGCACTAAGTGCCTTCAAGATGAAATTTGTAATATTTCATATAAGCAAATTAATGGCCCAACTGAAAACCCTAAAAAAAAAAAAAAAAAAAAAAAAAAAGAAGCAGTTACACCAAGAGGAGCAGTCAGCTGGAAATAGTCAAACTCAGGGCTGAAATCAATAAATTAGAATCAAATAAAACTATTCAAAGAGTCAATGAACCAAGAGCTGGTTCTTTGAAAAAGATCAACAAGATAGACAAACCCTTAGCTGAACTGACTAAAAGGCAGAGAGAAACTATCCAAATCGGTAAAATCAGAAATGAAAAGGAGACATAACTACAGACTGTGAGGAAATCCAAACAGTCATTAGGTCTTAC